ATACTGTACAGTGATTAAAAAATAGTATAGTCAGATTAAAAGAAAGATGAGAGAAACTGTGTTAGGTGATGTAAAAATTACAAAATGTGCATGTGTATGAGTGCATAGAAGACAAGAGAACATTTATAACAAATTAATAACTGAAGAAGAAGCAGGAAAGATGAACTTGTTGGGAGCAGTGATAGTTATCAAGTCTAGCAGCTGCTGTAGGGAGGGATCTGCTCTAAAACACTAAAGGAGGTCTTCAGTTTTCCAACAGCTCTTAGAAATAGGGCAGGATACGTTGCCAGAGATTGATATTTTATTTGCCAAAGCAACCCCACAGCATGATGCTGCCACCACCAAGCTTAAACCTTTGCTATAATGTTTTTTTGGAGACGTATAAGCTTGTGTATTTAATAAAAGCATCTTTTTTCATTATTATAAATAAAAATGTATATATTATATATACATATTATATATACATATAATATATTTGGTGCCAATATTCTACATCACATCCTTCAACTGTATTTTGAGATTATTTTAATCAGGCCTGGATGTAGAACTTAAGAGTTGTGGCACAGGATACAAAGGCTTGTCTTACAACTGAAGGGTTGCTGGTTTAAATCCCAGCTCAGTCCATCTCATTGTAATTTTAGGCAAGAAACTTTACTATTGTGTTGTGTGTTTTGACAGTGTTAGATAAATCTACTCTGATACGTGTTGAATCACAACTGTCAGGAACGTTGTTCAAACTTTGTCGCAGTTGTATTTTAATTACATCTAGTGTGGACCAATATAGACTCTGTTAAAAATGTTAAATTTAACTATTTAAGAGTTGAATTAATACTTCAAAACTTGCTGTGAATTTGTTGAAGATAAATCGTGCTTGCAAGCAATTCCAGTTGCTACTACAGGTGTGCTGACTGACTTAACAGGAGCTTCTAAGATGAGTTGGATGATAATTAATACATTTTTTTCACATAGAGAAGGTATATCCTCTGAATAATGACTTTATACAAGATTGTCTCTTTTTATCCTCAATCCATCCATCTTCTGCTGCCTGTCAGTCAGGATCAGTAGTGTCAAAAGTACACACTTTTGTTACTTAAGTAGAAGTTTAGATAGTGCAGTTTAAAAACACTCTGGTAAAAGTTGAAGTATCAATTTGACCTCTTTACTCAAGTAAAAGTGAAAAAGTATGTGCTCCAAAAACGACTGTATTTAAAAACAAACAAAAAAAAAAACAGCCAGATGCCACTATATGAATTGAAAGCTCAATTTTTCGACTATTTCGGAAAGATTCTTTGAGAAAGGGCCAAGGATGAGGGAGGTCTTGTTGGTCTCCATCTCCCGATACACCCTCGCCTGTGTCCGACCTTTCAGACATTTCAACATCTTTTTCTGAATCCGACATGGCATAGATAATTCACGTTTGAACACCTGCTTGCTTCTGATGATACCTTTAGCTAACCAATGAGTGTTTGCGTTACATGACTCATACAATGACACTAGTTTTCACTAGATGTGGATGGAGCCAATCATCTGCATTGGATGGAGCTCATGACGTGAAATAAATATTTACAAACATTAAACTGAAGCCAAGAGTAACGAGTAACGTTTGTTTTAAAAATGTAAGGAATAGAAAGTACAGATAACTGTGTGAAAATGTAATGAGTAGAGGTCAGAAGTAGGAAGAAAAATAAAGAATGGAGTAAAGCATAGATACCTAAAAAGTGTACTTAAGTGCAGTAACAAAGTATTTGTACTTTGTTACTTGACACCTCTGGTCAGGCTAACAGGTTAACTGTATCAGCGGTCCAGGGGTAAAACCTGGACAAGTCGCCGGTCCACTGCAGGACTACAATGTCTTTTGTAGTCCTTTCTTTGTTAAGCATTTCGAATGAATAAAAAACAAAAATTATCTAAGAAAAAATAGGGTAAAAACTGGGTTTATATTGGTGTCATTGTAATATAACTGATACAGTTTTATTCTAAAATCTAATCTAACTCTAATCATTTGTACAAGGATTTTAGTTTTAGTTCCGTTTTTTCACATTGTTTCCGTGTAACTAAAACTTGATGCGTGGTAGCAATAGATGATATGAGATTAGTGATTAGTATTATAACACTTTTAACAGGCAGTCCACACCCAGCCCTTTCCTTGTCTTCATGCAGTATCTCTATCAGTGCAGGGCCTCCGTATAGTTTCCCAGAATGCCTCTCAGGTCCCGGTGGATACGTTCCCTTATTTGCTGTAGAGCAGCAAATCCACCCCATCCCTCTGTTCCTTTGGACCTGCAGCCAATCACAGCACAGCTTGGAAATGACCCAGTTGCACACGCCACACTCTGGCTCCCCTCCTGCTCTCACCTTGAGCATCAAGGTTGGACAAGGATATATGTGAGAGAGACTTTAACAACTGGAGGAAACTCCAGTGAAACCAGAAACAAAGATAAAAACCGTGATTTCATCTTGGTTTGTGTTTCGGTTCTGCCCACTCTAATGATAGACCCTCGTTTTCACTGTTTTGTGTTCAAATTGAGCCCATGAGACAGATTTTTGGGGCAAATAATGGAAGCCTGAATCTGAAAAACACTATAATTTATTTTCTTCTCATTTATTCAATTCCACTGTTGATGCTGACAGGCAATCATCGGACATCTGCTCTGATTTAACAGAAAATATGACAAACAACCTGTCAAAATCTGTTTTCTCTGACTGCTGCTGTAAAGGAGGAATGTTCCTCTAATGAGGAATGTGCTGATTTAGAGCGAGTCTGAAACTACGCATCAAATGAATTAATTATATTCTGAACAATGAGGACTTGACGTGTGTAGCTCCAGCCCACAGGTGATACAGGCATGAAACCACTTCAGAGAAAAGCTGCAGTGTTTGAGGGAATGATTTTTTTTATTCTCTGGCTCAGATCCACTACTTTCTGTCTATTTGGTCATAATATGGTGGATTTTTCATTGTGATGGTTTGCTGCACTGTGGAAGCCTAAGCACCAAGTTATCTCCCAGTTTTACTCATTGACCCGTTTTGTAAGGACAGTAGGCACACATAATTGGACCCCAACTGTGCAGATTGTAAGCATTTAGAAACCACAGTTGGTAAAAAGATATGTATAAAGTAGCACAATCAGCATAAAAAATAAAATGAACCACATGCTTAATAATGTATTAATAAAAAAATGAATAAAGCCAGCAGAGTTCCAAATAAGGCTAGAATAAACTTAAAAAGCTTTGGTTAAATCATTAATAGTTCAGAGGAAACAGTTTCTTTTATATCCCTTATTTAACCGTTTATGTGGCACTAAGGGAAATACTTTGAAAATCAACATTTCAAGCAAATAGTGTTATTGGAATGCAGTACAAGACCTTATTACCTTTGTAACATTAAAAAAAATATGGATATTTTGATGCCAAAAATGAATGTCAATGTAATAACAAGAAACGCTAACTTGCCCAAATATATTAAGAAAAAGAACAAAAGTGATTCTATAAGAAATTCATGAAAAACACTCTGAGTGAAAGAAAAAAAATTTTTTTTTGGTCCAGCATAAACTTAGAGGCATTAATGCTGATACTGGCACATACATTTTTTTAGCTTATAAACCTAAATATAATTGTTAACCAGGCTTATTAAGTTTTTAAGTTAAAATTTTAACTTTTCAATTAGCTTTATACCTTTTTTTCTTGACTTAACTTGTTTTTCCAACTTAATTTACAGTAGGTCATATATCAATGGCTCATCTAATTGGTCAAATTCCAAAATAAGATAATACAGCCATTTAGTAGTATCTTTGCTGAATGGCTGGATATAGATCTTGTGTTTCTAGACCTCGCCGAGGGACAGGGACCTCATTTGAACGGGGATCAAAAACGGTAACTTGCCTTATAAAGGGTTAAAGTATTGGAGCCACAATTTCCATAGATTGTTTTCACTAACTGTATGTGATATGAGTTTTAATGAAATGAAAACAGGGTGAACATGGAATTGTTTTGCTGTAAAGAACATCCAAACACACAGCTGCAATATTTATCAGTTGCTGCTCAATGTTCCAGTAAACCTGTTTCCTTATGTCTCCACATCTCTGATCAGTCAGTTGTTGCTTGGTGTTCATCTTTGCTTTCTGTTCAGCAATATTGTCAGCAAAACAACCTCCTGGAACTTTAAATAAATTACATGCGGATGTCATTAGCTAATTAGAATACTGTCAAAGGAAGCTGGTTGCGCTGAACTTTAATTAAGAATATCACAGTAAAAGGTGGCAAAATAAGCACTTTTCAGATTTTTATTGGCAAAAAAATATTGATAACCATATGTATCCTTTATCATTTTGTACTTCGTCTTTTACATAAAAACCCAATGCAAGACAATAAACCAGCACAAATTCTATACATCAACTCGAGCAGGTAAGCAAACAGTCTGTAACTTCACTGGGTACTTTCAACCATTTAATGAAAACAATGCATCAGTGCTGGAGTCTTTGTCATTCGCTCATCTGCAGCCCCTGGGTGTCATGTCTTCATTCGTTGACCTGTTCCGCTGCGGTATGCAACAAACACCTCCACGTGTCCAGTGTGTTATAAGTACTCCGTTGCTTCACAGCGGCTCGGTCTTTGATCAACTTGTATAAAATAGCTCTTTTGACAATGAAGCAAACCCTTTATTCAGCTATGGTGGCTTTGAAGCTGGAGCTCAGACGCAGCTAAAACATCCCGGGGCCAAACTGCTCAGTGTGAACAGATGTGGACGTAATGCTGCTGACTGCAGGGGACTTTCCTCACACGCAGCAATTTGGAGGAAACCGCTGTTACTTTTGTTAAAAGCTTCAACATATAAAAATTATCAGTTTACAAAAGTGGAGTTAGTTGAAAATATCGATGTTGATGGATTATTTAGGTCAAGGCCATCGATTGCAGAAACAAGTGCTGGCAGCTCTGGGCCGAATATGTTAAACTTACAAAGTCGGTGTGACTGCAGCTCCAACAGTATTAAGTTCTCTGAAAGTAAAAGTCAAAGAAAAAAAAAAAAACAATCAAAAACATCTACAACAACTTTAATTGTTTTGTTTTTATCCTGATTTTATAAACAACAAAAATCAACAATAGAAAAATCACTTAAGGGGAAAGAGGATGACAGGTCCGAGTTTATGACAAAGGAATCGGGACGGGGTAAAGAAGGACGACAGAAGAGAGGGATGGAAGTTTCCCTCGTCTGTCAGTCATCAGTCCATCATAGTTTCATCTCCTCCTCCTCTCCTCTCTCTCTCTGTTCCTGTCTCTGTTCTCTTTATTCCTCTCTCTATCCCTCTCCCTCTCTCTCTTCTCCTCGTGCTCTCTCTCCCTCCCTCGCTCCCTGTCTCTATCTCTCCCTCTGTCCCTTTCACCTGCATCATCTCTTTGTCTGTCCATTTTCTGTCTCCTGCCATCCTCCTGTCGCTCCTCTTCCTCGGGCCTTTCTTCTCGCCTACGTCCCCGGGTGTCCTCACGTGTGCGTTGGTCCAAGTCACGTTCACGCTCCCTTCTGTCCCTCTTTGCCTGCTTCTCCACGTTGTTCTCTTCTTTATCTTTCCTGCCCTCCTTTTGCTTCTTGTCCAGTTTCACCTTCTTCTTCTTGCTCTTTTCTTTCTTCTTTTTCTCTTCACCGCGTACCTTTCTCTTCCTATGTTTGTTGTCAGAATCTGGAAGACATAAATAGAAATAAAACAGAGTCATTCATTTTACCAACTTCATTTAAGGCTGTCCTTTTATTCTAAGAACATACTCTGATGTGTTTGACTTGTTGCATTACACCCGTTATAACAGAACAAAGCACAACTGAGCAGGTTTTATTTCTACAATCAAGCAGCAGCAGACTCTCAACCCATCCGCATCTCTTAGAATCAGCTCTAAAAGTTTCCCTGTAGTCAGTTTAACCCAAAGGCTTTTTTAATGCGTTCTGCAGTGAAGCAGGAACAAAACTAATGACTCGTAAAACAAGTTTACTGCATTTTTTCCAACAGGAATGAAGAGGGGAAACAAAAAAGCCAAGAATACAGATGATGCTCTCTAGACACCAGTTTGACAAATGCTACCTGAAATTGAAACATAAAGGGTTATATTAGTTGAATATTCCTTTAATACTAAATAAATCTGTTTGACAAAATAATGCTCCATGTTTTACTATAACAATGAATTTCTTTATTTAAATATTAACAGTTCCAGGCTACGTTTAACACCATATGAAAAGGTAAAACTCGTAGAGATCCCATAGTTTAAGGATCCAGCTTTCTTCTGTTTAAAGAACCTTGAAAGTCCTGAAAACATTACACCTTTTTATCACATCACAACCTCGACTCTTGTTTTTCAAGCTGGACTTTAATGAGACATATTAACACAAATAAACATAACAAGAGTTAAAGGAAAACTAAAATTTTTACCATTAAAAAAAACAGTATCACAGCCTCCATCTGTATTCATATCTAACAACTGAATTAGTCTTGTTTCTGTTTCATTCTGTGATCAGCGTCATTTTCTCTGCGGTGTATTCCCGCTGCACAACTCGGTCACAGTCATGTTTCTCCATGCAGATAATAATATTTAATTTTTTATATAAACAAAGCCTATAATAGGATTTCATAATCTTAATCTATCTAAACCTCTGCTGCGTTCATATTGATACTTATTTAGCGATGTTCTCTAACGGGTCTCAGAGGCCTTTGTAGGACAGCAAGATTAATACCGACATTAAATTTTGCACAATTATTAAATTATGGACTCTATTTAATTGGGGACATTCTAAGTTGAACGGTACAAGAGGGTAAATGCGAATGCATGACAAGTTACATTTTTTCTTCTGAAAAATCTGTAAAAATGCAACCGCCCCGCAAATGTAGCAGAAAAAAAAAAGCATTAAAAAAAAAAAAAAAAAAAAAAAACAAGATTCAGCCTGGTGTACCTGAGCTGCTGCTGCTGGAGGAGGAGGAGTCAGAATCTGAAGAGTCAGAATCTGATTCGCTGGAGGAATCAGAGGACGAAGAGTCTGAAGATGAGGAAGAGGAGGAGGACGACGAGTCGGATGATTCAACTTCCTGGTTTTGAGTCATGATCATCTTTGGTGCGTTCTTCAGGTGTTCCCTCAACTCGTCGCTGTTTGAACAATGATGTCAAACATGATGTTGAATAAATAATGATACCAGATGAAGTGAAGCCGCAGACATGAAGCAGCTGACCTCTGTGTTTGTGGATAATAAAGTAGAGAACTTACGTCAAGCCTCCCAGTCCTATGGAGGTGAAGAAGTTGATGGCAAAGCGAGTGTTTCTGGGATTGTCACGAGGAAATAGACCTTCGAAGAAACTCTGCAGGGTTCTGCAATAAAACCAACAGATTAGCAAATACTCAAATGAGAACCATAATAATGTTCGCTTTAAATAGATGTTTAGAGAGAAATATTGAGGTGGTCTTTAATTGTTTAATACATTATTCTTAATTTGTGTCTTGCTACTCTGGGATTTCAGAAACTGTCTTTAAATGTGAAGTACTACAGCTTTGTTTGATGTGTTTATCTCTGATATTAGAAACCAGGTTCCTCTGAAGTGTGTGCCTGTTTTTTCGTACGGGTCTTTAAGCCGCTGGTTGAGTTTTGGGAGGCCCATGTAGGCACAGAGCTCCTGGAAAAGGATTTTGACAAAAATCCTGCTAGATGATGTTGTAGTTTCTTCACTCATTCGGATGCACTCCAACACCTGATCAACAAACAACGAGAGCAGAGAGGGGGAAAAAAGAGGAAATGATTGGTTCATCCTCCATTTGGACTTGATTGTGCTGATGAGTGTTTAAACTGGACTGTGTGTCCCTTACGCTCCACGGCACAGAGTCTGTGTAGAGCAGATGAGCAAACAGTCGGGCCACGTTCCTCAGCTTGTTGGTCTCCAGCCGATGGATTGTATCATACTGCTCAGAAAATATGGCCTCAAAGCTCTCCATGTACTCCTTTTTCAGCAGACAGAATCTCTGAACAAATAAAAACACAAAAACAGCTTAAAAATGCCTCAATGTTTAAGCTTAGAGTGTTGGAGCGGTAAATTAATTCATGTAAACCGAGTAGCAGGTTATCTTGGAGCAATATTACCTCAGCGGTATTCACCAATATAGAAACAAAGTTCCAGTATAGAAATCTGAACCTGACCAGGACCCTAGTACAGAGATCATGCTTTAAAAGCACGTCAAAAAGGGTTCTATAAATTTACAAAAGGAAGGGCAGAGCTAAGCATTTTCAAATTCTAGATTTATTTAATCAGGTCAAGTCAGGTAAGAAAAAATAGACTAAGATTTTATGTAACATTTCTTGTTTTATTTAATATCTTCAAATTTTTGCAAATTTCTTCCACCTTTTTTTGAAGTGATAGCATGTTAACTATGTCATAAAGGCTAGTCTTAATATCTAACGGTAATATACAAGCTATTAGCATAGCGGACTCATATAAGCTGCAGTTAGCCAACATGCTTTTAACAGCATGTTAGTAACAATTTCATACCAGTTAATGGTAGAATTAGACTGTGTCCGAATGCCCGCCCTAATCACTATATAGGGCACTAGATAGTGATTACGACATTTTAGATGAGTGTCCGAACGTCTAGTGGAGGAAAAAGTAGTGGACTCGAAATCCCCCACAATGCACTTTGAAAAGTTCTGATCATCCATGGCCACTAGAGGAGCACATATATCCCGGAATGCTTTGCAAAGCATTATGGGATTCGTTGTCACAGACGCCCGCTGTGGCTGTAGGCTGTCGCCAACCAACAGTGGTGGCAAATAGAGATGGCAAAGGCATCATGTAGGGAGGCGGGGTTACGAGCCTGAGAAGTATTGATCATCTGTTCAAATGGTCAGTTAACGGTGATCACTATAAAGTCCACTGTATAGAGTGACTGAGGGATTTAGAAGTTAGAGTGGATGTTTGGACAGAGGCTATTATTTAAATTTTTCAAAACATCACTTTTCCTTTTTAGGAAACATGCTAATATTAGCCCATGGTATTAAATTAACTTATTTTGTCTAATCAGATGTTAAATTTAAAAGAACTAATATCAACCTTTTAAATTTCAGTCAGGCTAATTTTAGCTTTCTGCATATATTTTCCCAGTACTATTGTTATTTTTGTTCCATTCTTAAGCTTCTTCATGCTAAGCTGTACACATAAAACTCATTTTCAACAGATTTTATCTTCTGTTTTCCACTTTTCTGTTATTCTCTCTCATGACTATATTTCCAATTCTGATATGCTAAAAGAAAAAGCGGATCCTTCACCTTCCAAAGTGTTTTCTAGTTTCATCTTAGCTTCCTGTGACTTTTTATCCTTGATATTAATTAAAGCTATTAAATGTGTCAGTCCATGTCTCTAACACAATTTTCCACCGAGATTATTTTCATTGCTTCATATTCTTTAAAAGTGTTTCTGCTTCAGTTCTAATCATTGTCCACGTTTCTGTGCATTTAGTCAACATCAGTGTTAAAAAATGCCTCTCTAACCCTAACCCCACATTGAGGATAAATGCTAATTTTCATAGTTGGCAATGCAAGTTTAACTTAAAATCAAAAGCCTTATGCAATACAAAGTAGCAAGCTTCTTAACCAATCCTAAAAAAAGCAACCAAGTGCATAAGACTTTAAATATGTCAAATCAAAGTGTGGTGGTCGAGTGTCTCACCCCAGCAAGTAGGCCGAAGAACTTCTCATAGGTCCTCTGCTGAGCACAGCAGTCCAGGATCATATTGCACAGCTCTTTCTGCTCATAGAAACACAATAAAAAAAATCTTTAATGCAATTTAGTCATTTTCATCCAATTAAAAAAATATATACATACAGTCTACATAACAAGAATATTTTTCTTTAAAATTATACTGCTTATGAAATCTAAGCAAAACATTTCAAAGACTGTAATTGCTATGTTACTATAGGGGGACATTAAGGTCTTGCTATGGGACCACAACCTTAAAATATATTTCTTCAAACACAAAGTAGAGCTTTTTTGTGTAGCTGAAATACAATGACTTGAATTTTTAACTTAAGTCCTCACTAGTTATCGAAGTCGAAATTAAAGGTATAAATACGTCTGGAGGAACTAAAAGCAACATATTGGTGTTTAAGGTGAGGGATGCTTTAGTAATGACTGTTTAATCATCAAATAATAAAGTTACTATCACTAAAATGCATTAGAATCTACCGGGTTGATCGGAATAAAGTTTGACTACAATGTCTGAAAATCTAATTTCTTGTAAATGAATGTTATATAAAACGCAAAGGAATTAAATTAGTTAGCTTAAAACAACAAAGCCTAGAGTTAATGTAGTGATGTCAGATTGACAAAGCAGTTATGCTGTAATTTTCACCAGAGTATTAACCGGCTGTCTGGCTGTGATGTACTGTAGATCTACGTTAATAGCCTTCTCCTCAGCAACATCTGTCCCACACTGAGAAATGGGAGTCCAACTTTTGGCAGCTATAACTAAGTGTTGCTGCAAGTATAGCAGCAGCTTTCGTTTTTGCTGAACTGAAGAAGGTAGTTAAATATGTAATTATATCTCTGTTGAGCCCTGCAGTGAGCCAGGCAACGTGGCTTAACAGAAGCCGGGCTTTAGCACACGTCAGGCGAGGAGTCATCAGCTGCCTATTTGTGGCGAGTTAGTTAAAGGAAGAGACACTTATTTTTCTAGACTTTGATGTGACAGTTTCAATAAACAGCAGGATTCTCTGCAGTAAACACTTGAGCAAGCACTGAGGTGTGAGCCTTCAGCAGAGGAAAGGCGTGTCACTGAACAAAGATCTCCGAAAGCGTGCGTCGCAGCTGTTGTGAGAGATTCAGTCATGAAGAGTGACAGGGCTGTCGGCTCCGACCTCTCAAACACGCAGCGTTTATGTCTAAGTGCTTGTGAGGAAAGTCCCTGCCAAGCATGGCAGGTGTTTGCTCTTTGTTCAAGGACATTCTGCGTAAAGCAAGTCTGAAATAGTGAAGATGCATCTGAAGGGCAGGGGGGGGGGGGGGGTGTTGGAGAAGAAAAATATATTGCATAACATTTCTAACAGAAATAACATAACAGAAACTTTGGGGTTTGAAACATAAAAAAACATTAGTCATTGCAGGTGAGATTTGGAGCCAAAAAGTATTTAAAAACCAAAAAGAAGAAAGCAACGATGTAATTAAGGAAAATTTGTTCTACTTTGCCGAATGATAATAAATAACAATTAAAATGCTTTGTATTAATAGCCTGGAATAACTGTCAGAGGTAAACAGCACAAAATTTATTTTTTTAGTTAGTGAGTAAACATCTTCCAAAAAGCTGTTACAAGCCTTAAATTCACCAAACGGCTCTCACCAAACAAGGCACATCCAGACAAAGGATGGTAGCCGTAGCCTTGTGCTTTCCTTTTATGAAATAAACACCTTTATCTGCCTAGCTATTATATATTATCTGCCTCCAGCCTTCTCAGTTTCCCTTCTTTCAATTTATTTTAGACTGTTAAGCTGCGTCTCTGTAAACGATATGGTTAAAATTGAGATGTTATTCAATTGTAATGTAACAAACTTATAAGCGTAAAATAGTCTTTGCACTAATGGAAAATGGGTCTAACTGGTCAGGGTATTACATTAACACTAAGTACGTTGCTAACACTCTTAACTTTTAACCAGTTCTAATTCTTTCATCTTAAGATCTGTGATTTATTTCTAATTCTGAGGAAATAGTTGCCAAGGCTACACCCGCCAAATAAAACGCACGTGTTTAAGCAGATAGCTCAGTCATACGGATAAATATGTTTCAAACAGGTATATGGCTTGTGCTCTTTCATCCAACATGTGCTCTAACAGATCCACAATCTTCTAACCGATCCCCTGCTGAAGCCACACTGTCCATCAGAAGATCAGACGGACCACAGGGTGTCGACAGCCTTTGTTCTTGATGTTTAGTTTGCTTTTTTAAGTTTTACATATACAAACTTGTTCTCATTTTCAACACTGAGATCAAAAGCTTAAAAGTGCATGCAGAAAAGTCTCCTAAAAGGATTACTTTTCAAGATGAACGCTTTTTGAATTTGACATACAGCTGCTGACCTTAGGAAGTTTGCACTGGATGAACTGAAGACCATTTATGGAGGAGCAGTGGTCTATAACTAGTAACTATGGAAACATGTTTTAACCATTTACAACACTTAACAAAACCTGACAGTGTAGAAACAAGATACTGCACCATTAACACACACACACAGATCTGTCCTCACAATCACAGAGTCACGCATAGCTGACCTGCACCTGTCTGAGTATAAAGCTCATAATTACAAATACACACATGTGACCTGAGGACCACACACACACAGAGGAAGCCTTTAAGCAGCTGACAAAAGGGATGTCACTATAAGTTTCCAAGGAGCACATGAAAACTTTAAGACTGGTTTAAGATTGGTTTAAACATCTGGTCTAAAAGAGTTGAGACTTAGCTAAATGAACCACAGGATAGTATAGAGTATAATGGAATAAATGTATTAAGAATTAATACTAAATACCAACTAAAAAAAAAAACTCTTTGTTTCAACAAATAAAAATGGAAACCAACTTGTCTGCATAATAAATCAGAAAGGACACATTTATGGTGTAATGAGTGAAGCTACAGAGATAATATAATTTTAAGACATTTTTAAACACAAAATTTAATAAAGTCTATATCTGATTTTGAAATAAAGACTAAGAACATATTTGAATATGATGGAAAATCCTAATAGTTTCTCTATTATGCTCTCAAATCTCAGGATTCAAAAACCTTAAAGCCTTCAATAATAGGCTATGCTATAGTTAAGAGAATGTTAAATAATGAATCGAAACTTTGAGAGGATGTCATGATGTGGGATATTTAGCAGATCAACCTTTTGAGAGGAAGGTGAAATCAAAGCTCAAACAAATAAAGCCCATCCCTTGTCCTCAGATTAATCCTCACTGGTTGAAAACTAAAGCACACAATGCTAAGTACGCATTCTGGAAACTTAGTAAGGTGAAACAGCGAGAGTTTGACATAATTAGTAAACTTTAGAGAAAATAAAGTCAAACAATGAAAAGCCAAAATGTAAGCAATATGAAACTAATTTCAGTTTCACCTCTAGAATGTCAAGCTCCTGTATAAAACCATTTTAAAACATAGTAAGGGACTTAATAGGCATAATTAACATTAATTAGGCATAACGTGGATGGATTAATGGCTAATTTACCCCCAAAGCATGGCATGAAGTTCAACACTGGCCTAATAATTAGCCAAAGGATGTACTTGGCATGTAGTCTAATTTCCTGTTTGTCACAAGCCACGTGGAAGTCATAGAAATCATGTAGAAGATAGCATTTTGCAATTTTATGGATATCGTTAAAAAACGTGTTAAAAAAAAAAAAAAAAGGGAAAAAAAGCCGTTCACATCAACCTTAAAACGCCACTGCTATGGTGAAACAAGGTGGTGGCAACATCATGCGGTGGTCCATCAGTGGTAGGAAAAGTCCAAATTTAGTGGATGGAGAAATGCAGGGTTATCTAGGGAAAAAGCTACTAAAGGCTACAAAACATTTGGTTAAAAGTATTAACTTAGTTATACTGAATACAGAAACCAGCCACAACTTTTAGCTTCTGTTTGTTTATACCATTGGAAGTAATACATCAGTGATCTTCTACATTGCACTTAGTTACTGCAATGTTTGTCCAGCACATCAAATCTATTTGATGTGATATTTGTGAGAAGCACTTTATGTGGGTTATGCTAGTAATTAGGTCCCTTTTCTCACCATAATAATATGGAATACAGAAAAAAGAAAGAACAAAGATAAATGGCAAAGCCAGAGACTAACCCCTGACATTTTCCTCTATGTGGATTGAGCATTAAACTCTCAGATATCCAGTCTATGATGCCTATGACCCTGATGCTGCTATATGCCAACAACCTATCATTACAGGTTTTACTTCTACTCTTTAGTTGTTTTCATATCCAGCAGTGAGAGACTGTGACAGTGGAAACCAATCAGGTAGGTGTGTGTTGTTGTGTTTGTGGACTCACAGTTTGGCTATCAGGAAATTCCATCTTGATCAGCTTGTGGGCGCATTCCTCAAAGTCCAAGCTAAAAAAAAAAAAAATTATAATTTCATTCAATTAATTTATATAGTGAAAAATAACACCTCA